TGCGCCCAGGGCCCCCGCGGGGGGCTCGCTGGACAGACTACAGTGGGAGAACCCGTTAGACAACTGAAAACGAAAGGGGGAGAGAGGAAAACACAAATTAATCAACAGGAGGGCGCAGAGACACACGATGGCATCGACGTTTGCGGGCGGAAACCTGGACCTTCACCAAGAAAACGCACGGCGCTGCCGCGCGCGGACGGGCGCCCCGTCAGACGCCACTGGGCTCCGGTCTGGGAGACTCGACCCAACTGCGGGATGGTTTGGACGCTGACCGGCGCCCTTAATTTGCGGGCTCTCAACGGTTTTCTCTTTTGCAACTAACCAGGGCAGCTTTCGTGGCGATGGAGATTTGCTCATCTCCACATGCCAATTAGGAATTCTAAAGCAGCCTCACGCTCGTCTGTTATTCCAGGTTTCCAGAACCGCCACGGGCCCAGGGGCACGTGCTGGGTCAAGGGCGGGGAGTGGGGGGAGTGCGGACCCAGGGGCAGCGACACGGGTGTGGCACGGCCCACTGGCCCTGGGGGGAGGAGATGGATGCGCACACAGCCCTGCTGGGAAGGCACCTTCACACCCCCCGGTTCCCCACGCGCCTCTCCCTCAGGACCGTGGGCCCGCGCCGCACATCCTAGAAGCAGCCCTCAGCCCGCGCCCCGCTGTCCCCAAAGGGCCGCTCCTGGTGTGGATCCTGCCTTCCGGTTCCCCTGGCCGTGCCAGCTGTGTGGGTGGCAGGGGAGGTGTGTGGGCCAGGGAGAGCGGGCCGCCGCGGCTGCCGCCCGCGGTCACCTTGTCCGCGGACACCCAGGCGCCCATGGTGGAGCCCGAGCTGACCGACGAGGGGGAGCTGCACTCGCTCACGGACTGGCAGGTTTCCGAGGCTTCGGAGGAGGCCGAGCTGGAGGAGTTCTGCAGTGGGAGGGCCACACGGGGCCACGGAAACCAAGCACACGCCACCACAACGTCACGGGAGAAAAGAAGGGGGCGGGGCGGGAGGGGCAGGCACGGAGACAGACAGGCACACGGAAGAGGGAGGAGAGAAGCAGAGGGTTAGGGCCAGTCCCCAAAGTCCCGTCCACTCGGAGGCCTCCCAGCTTGGAAAGGAGTGGAGGCCCGGCCGTCCGAGACCGTGGGCCCCCGGACCCGGGGACACGGGTCTCTGTCAGCCCCCAGAAGCATGCCTGGCATGGGCATCTGGTCGTGGCTTGGGCACTCCCAGTCATGCCTAGGCCCCGTCCCCAGGGAGGTTCTGCCCGCACGTGCCTGGGCACGGGCGTCATCGACTGTAAGGGCAGACCTCGGCCTGCCTTGGCTCGTGCCCACCTAAGGTGCTACTTCCCGATTCCCCCTGGTCGAGCGCAGCCTCTGAGCCCCAAGCCTGGTTCCAGCTTTGAGGTTTCAGCAGGACGCGTTTTCAGGTTTCTCGGCCTGGGGCTTGAAGCCCTGAGCTCAGTGCCATGTTGCGGGCGGCCACGGTGGGGAAAATGAAAGGTCGCACTGGGGACTGTCCCCCTCATGTGGATCTGTCTTAAACCCTGGGTCCCCTAACGCCGGCCAGAACACGCCCCCCAGCATGGCTGAGGCAGAGAGACCGTGCCCGTGAGGGTGCTATCACGCCCAAGTTCACAGTCCTGGACCTGACACACAGCGGGTGTTCAAAAAACCCGAATGCTTAGGGACCGAGCATCTTCCATGCCATCGACTGGGTCCCCTGGCCCCGCCCTGTGTCCACCCAGGCCCTTGCTTCAAGTTTTGTGCGCTGCTAGCTGCAGTCTCTGGCCTCACCCCAGTGTGTTTAAGAAGCGAATCTCCCCTACTGGGGTCTCCCTGGGAGTGTCCGGTTCCCTGTCATGGAGGCCGGACTCCTGCTTCTGTCATTTTCACCCACCAAAGACAGCAAGGTCCCTTCAGAGGGACGGAGGGCAGGGAGCCAGGAGGACTCTCCACAGCACGTAGGCTCTGGGCCCCAAGTAGGGGGTTCCGGGAAGGGGGTATCCTGGCTGCGCCCGCACTCTCTGTCTGCCCGATGGCCCAGGAGCTGAGCCTCCAAGGTTTGGACTTAAGTCCCCTCCTGCCACCTCTCAGCTGAGCAACGGCGAACTTAAAGCCTCCAAACCTCCATTTTTTCCCATCTTTTTGGTTTTGAGTCAGAGTTCCACTTTGTAGCCCAGGCTAGAGTGCAGTGCTGCAGTCACGGCTATCACAGCCTCCACCTCCTGGGCTCAGGCGATCCTTCTGCCTCAGCCTCCTGAGCAGCTGGGACTACAGATGCTTGCCACCAGGCACTCCAGCCTGGGCAACAGAGTGAGACCCCAACAACAACAAAAAGTTGTTTTCAGCATTCCTCAACCCATGAAAATGCCCCGAGAGCTGCCAGCCAAGCATGTTTTGGGCTCTGGCTGCAGATTTAAGTAAACCCAGCACCCCGTCCTGCTTCCCTCTGCGTGGTCAGGGGCAGAAACCCCAACAGACCCCACGTGGTCTCGGACAGGCAGCTGGAGCACGCGGCCTCGCCTTTTTGGAGACGGTGTCAGCGCACAACTAATTGTTTCTCAGACAATGACAGACGCACAAGGCTGTGGCAGAAACAGCCTGGGGCGCACATTCCCGCCGCCCCACAGGGCGTCCACGTGGGCCGTGCAGGTGTGGCTTAGTGAAGGCGGGCGGGCACCGGACGCTCGGAGACTAAGCTGAAGCGCCCCAACTTGAAAGCAACAGCCTGATCCTGGTTCCGAGTGTTTCCGATGGAAACTGTCCCTCCAAGGAAGAGAGTCGCCCGCACTCCAAGACAGCCGAGCTCCAAGGGAGCGAGGGGCACGCTGGCACGGGCTTCCCAGCAGGTGGCGCTGTGGGCACCCAGCGCCTGACCAGGCGCTGCTAAGCCAAGCCAGATGCCAACCCCAGAGCACCTGGGGAGAGGGGACAGAGGGCCTGCATGCACCCACGGTGCACAGGAAGGGTGCTCAGACGCCTCGCCAGTTCCCTCCTGCTCCCGCCGGAAACTCTACGCCGGCCTAGCACCATCTGGCCCAGCCGTGGTGGGCGCCTCCTCCAGCCCCCTCCTCTGGGGTCCACGGCGACACGATTGTCCGCAGCACAGGTGGTAGAGGGAGCCCGGGAGTGCCAGGAGGACGTCCAAAGCCCAGACACCAGCCGTCCAGGAGGGCCCAGTGGTGGAGGTGTCCCCGTGGCACTAGAGCCCGTTAATGACATGCTCACGCCAGGCTGGGCGCTCACAGGGAGGCCAGAGGGAGGCCACGCCTCCTCCGGTCTGTCCACTTACACGTGTGGGTGACCTAATGTGGCAACTCAATTGTGACCACCGTGGAAACAGGCGTCAAACCCAACACACAGGCCTCTCCCTTGGGGCACAGCACATCTAAGGACCAGAGTCAAGCCAGAGGCTTCTCGAGTCCGTGGTGAGGTCTGCCCAGCCAGGGTCCTTCTTTGGCTCCAGCCATGGATGGCAGTCAGGGCTCCCAGCCGTGGACCACGGTCCAGCTGTGGTTGGCAGACAAGGCCTTGGCCACAGACCATGGTCCAGTCGTGGGCAGTGGTAAGGGCCCTGGCCATGGATGGTGGTCCAGCCACGGATGGCAGTCAGGGCACCCGGCCATGGACCGTGGTCCGGCCGTGGAAGGTGGTCAGAGCACCCAGCCGCCACGGACGGTGGCCCAGCCGTGGACGGCAGTCAGGGACTTGGCCACAGACCATGGTCCAGCTGTGGGCGGCGGCCAGGGCACCCGGCCAGGGAGGGTGGTCCAGCCGTGGTCGGCAGCCAGGGACCTGGCCACGAACCGTGGCCCACCCACGGACGGCATCCAGGGCCCCGGCATGGCAGCTGCCCCCAGCGCCCGGCATACCCTTACCTGGTTGGGGGCCTCTGGCGGCATGGGGGAGGGTGACTTGGACTGGAAGGCGTCCTGGGAGATGAAGCCGGAGTCGTGGGAGGACACGCTGGACAGTCGCACGGGCGCCGGCTGGGCAGGGTTGGAGCCGCGGTGACGGCAGTGGGAGCTGGGCGAGTGCGAGTGGGAGCTGCTGGAGCGAGAGTCGCTGCTGTTCACGCTGTTCAGGCTGCTGCAGGGCGGAGAAGGCGGGGGAGGGGCGGGCAGCGCGTGGGTGGGGAGCACACGTTGCGGCGCTCTGGGCTCGAGAAGCAGCGCCCACCACCAGGCGTCTCTGTCTGTCTTTCCTTTCTTTTCCAGTCGGGGTCTCACTCTGTGGCCCAGGCTGGTCTCGAGCTCCCGGACTCGGGTCAACCTCCCACCCGGCCCCAGACACTGCAGGGATGACAGAACCGAGCCACCGCGCCCGGCCTACCTGGCCTTTTATTTTTATTTTATTTTATTTTTTTTTAAGTTGGAGTCTCACTCTGTCGCCCAGACTGCAGTGCAGTGGCCGCTCCCGGCCACCTCGACCTGCTGGGCTCCGGCGATCCTTCCGCCGCAGCCTTCCAAGTAGCCAGAATTACAGGCAGGCGCTACCACGCCCGGCTGATTTTTTGATTTATTGTAGAGACGGGGGGTCTCACCAAGTTGCCCGGGCGGGTCTCGAACCCACGGGCTCAGGCAATTCACTCACCTCGGCCTCCCAAAGTGCTGGGCTTACAGGCTGAGCTACCGAGCCCGGCCTATTTTGCCTTTTATTAACAGAGCAATACTTTAATTCCGGGTTCTACCCTGACCCCAGTGTTTCTCTGTTAAAATATCCGTGGGTCTGGCATCACCCAGGGAGAGGCAGGCAGCGCTCGGGATGGACGGCTGTCAATGCTTCTGTAACAGACAGGTGAGCAGGGTGTCCGGTGATGACACACCCTCTCCGGTGTCCTGTCAGCATCCTCCTCCAGTCAAAAGACACGCTCCACACTCAACAACTCGGCGTAAGGAAACCCAAAACAGAGTCCCAGGTCCCAGCCCGCAGACTGAAACACACATGCAGCTCCTGGATCCAGCGACAGCCCAGCAGGCCTGGGAAGCCCTGGTTTCTGCCCCTGCCCTGCAGGACTTCTTTTGCAACACTCTGGTGGCTCCTGGGGTCGAGGCCCATGAGGCTGTGCACCCCAGAGTCATCCAGCACGGATGTTCAGACACACGTGGGCATGGTCGGCCGGCAGTTGCTGCCGCCGGGATGGCCCTCAGGATTCCACTTTCCCCTCTGATCGGGTCGAAGAGGCCTCTGGGGATGCCCCGCAAAGCCCAGGCAGCTCGGGCCAGCAGCCTCGGCCTCAGGTCAGTGCACCACGGCCGCCGACTCCACCAAAGGGAAGACGCCCACACGGCGCTGGGTTATACCAACCACAGGTTCATCTCACACGACCAGGGGCCCCTGAGAGATGACAAGGCACCAGCCAGCATCCCCGGGCAGAAGGTTGGGAGGTGGCACCTTAAGAGTGAATGTCCAGCTAAGGACACAAAGTCCATGCTTGGGTGAGAAAGGAAACGGAGATCCACAGAGACATCACCACAGAGATCCCTGGAGACGTCGCCACAGAGCTCCCCGGGCCATGGTGCGCTTTGCACTCAATGCTGATATGCAGGAAGTGGAAACTCACGTGGCTTTGGGAAGTTAGGCAAAAGGCTAGCAGGACTAGAACACCAAGAAAGACAAGTGCTCCGCCCCGTTCCCGTCTTTCTAGAAGAGCACCTGCTCTCCCGAGCCCACATGGCCCTCCCCGGTGGCCGGCAGACAAGGTTCTGCGCATCGAGCAATGCTGTGTCCGCAGGGGGCAGTTCTCGTGCCCAGAGTAGTGGTGGTGGGGGCGGGGTGGCGGCAGTGGCGGCCGACAGAGCAAGAACTCGCTTCACGAAACCCCGAGACAGCCACCTGGGGAGGGCGCCCATGCCACGGTGCCTTCCCCCCGGGCTCTGCCACGGGCCCGCCGGCCTGTGGGAGGGCCACTCTCAGTCCTCAGTCCTCCTGGCTGTCACCCCGCTAAACCGGAAAACCAGATTTCATCTCATCAACGGGCAGAGCCAGACACCCTGCCTGGGAGGGCAAACAGGCCGCATCCACGAGGCCAGGATGGGTAAGGTTCTCTTTCTGATCCAAAGTAAATCCAGAGACGAAAGAGGGGGACCCAGAGGGCACCCCTCTTCCAGGTGATCAGTAAAACAAGCCACTCGGGAGACTGAGGGAAGTCGACTGCCCCCATGAGCTAAAGAACAATGGCCCGTCCCCACGGCGAGTGGCACTCACTTACCTGCACACACTGGACTTCCTAGACATGGTGGTGCTGGGGGAAGAGGGTGGTGTCTGATAGGACCAGCTGCAGTCGGAGCCTTTCAAGTCCAAGATCACCTGCGGACAGAGCAGCGCGTCAGCGGGGGGCCGAGAAGGGAGATTCCGGCCCTCAAAGCCCGACACCCACTACGGAATCCAAATGCTGCCATCACGGGGGAGCCAATTAAGGAAAAAACGTCAAGCAAAAAAAAAGTTTAGCCGAAGAACCACACTACCAACGCATCAATGTCATGATCCTTTTGCTTAGAGAAGCAAAACTGTAACTGATGGTGGGGGGAGGGGCAAAACCATGAAATGCCAGTGAAGAGAGCACGAGCGAAACCACGACAGCAGCTGGCTGACATCGGCAAGAGACGTTTGTACCCCGGCTGGAATTTGCGGGACTCCCCTTTTCCGGCACCATCAAGGCAGGAGTGGCTTCTGGACCTGGTGACCTTAGTTTTAGCCACATGGCATTCAGGGGTCACTTGGGCCCTATCTGGCCAGGACTAGACGTGTTTAAGGCTGACGGAGCCATGAGCCAGCCAAGTCTTTCACGGTCACTTCTGCGTCTGCCTCCCTTGTCTGACGAAGAGTCACTGGGGTGTAAGGCCCCCGCATCCACCCACACGAGAGGCGCTCAAGAAACGTCTACTTGGCGGGTGAGGGCAGGCCACGCTGGTCTCACAAAGTGGTTTCTGAGAAGAGAAAACACGCTCTAGACGTGTCTTCTGAGTGGGCTCTCCCTGGAGGTGCTAAGAATGGTGCACATGGGCAAAAGCTGGTGTGTCACCAGCTGCCCCCAAATATGTCTCTTCCCACGTGACATGGTGCTAGCATGACAAGAGCCAGATGCATAAAGCACAGAAATGTCATCTTTCTCCTGAGGCAAGGGAGATGCCCAAGCATCGTGCAGGTAGAACGGGAGAAGGAAGGCTGGCTGAGGGTGACACCCGGAGCACAGCCCTGCCGTGTCTTCCAAGAGCTGCTTCCGCAGGGTAAGGAACACTACGGTGCCGTGCGTGAGATCCGAACTCCCCCGCCCGCCTCCGATCCCACCACTCACTAGCTAGGCGGAGCTGGGCAAGCGATAGCGCCGCTCAGAGCCTCAGTGTCCTCCCCTAGAAGGTGGGCACGGCTGGGCGGTCTACGGAAAGAGCCTGGGACACTGCCTGACACACAGTCGGTCCTGTGCAGGGGCTGCCTGCGATGATCACTACGTGTCACCGCAGGAAGGACGCGGTGAAACAGGAACACAACTTAAGAGGTGACACATGGCTGGGGTGGAGACCCTCACACGAAGTGACCTATCACGGAAACAGTCGAACGCCGTGTGTGCTCACTCCTAGGCGGGCCCGATCACCCGTCACGCTAGCACGAAAGAGGGCCCCGCAGTCACTGGACGCTGCTGGGGAGGGAGCGAGGATCGGGAGAGGGCACGTGACGACACAGAGGGTCCCTGGTCCGCTGCCAGGGGGAGTGAGGGGCAGCTGGAAGCCCGCATGTCACCGGTATGCAGCCTACGTATGTGGGAATCCTCGCTTGTGTCAACAGCACTACAATAAAATGTGATTTTTTTTTTTGAGTTGGAGTCTCACTCTGTGGCCCAGACTGGAGTGCAGTGGCCGCTCCTGGCCCCCGCAGCC